CCGGGGTCCGTGCGTCCTTCTGCCACTGGCACTCATCTCTGCCTCATATCTTCATGCAGCAACTCTCTGCCTGCCTCGTTTGTGGCAGAAGCCTGTAAGGCCACGGATTTCCTCCGCCGAAGGTCCCCACACAGTTCCATATGCCGTGCTGTATTATTATTCACTTGTGTCTTTTTCACACATCCAGTAATTTGCACACCCATTAATGGTTTCTTCTTTGATCTCTGAGTTTAGAAGTCTTTTTAAATTTCCAAACATACAATAAACTTATTTTTCTTTTACTACTTACACCAACAATTGCATTTCTCTAACTGCATTTTCCAAAACTCGCCATGCGTTATGCATTACTGAGGCTCTGAAGTTTGCTGACACTTGACATCAGACGGTGTGCATGTCCCGGGCACACCTGAGGACAGCGAACTGCTCCCTGCTGGTCCGGGTCCTGTGAGTCTGCGAAGCCCTGCAGCCTCTCTTCACTAAGTTCTGAGCCCCCCACAGAGCCCCCCGCCCCCGCGACACTGGGCTCCCCCTGGAGGAGGGATCTTATCAGGCAAATCCCGGTGTATGCAGGGTCCTCATTTTCCTGATGAGTGGAACCCGTCACAGAATAATTTTCTTCATCACATTTCATTCTTACTTCACTCATGTTTACGAATATGTGTGTCCTAACGTCTGTTCTGCCTGAAGCCAGGTCTGCCAGCTGCAGGGTTCGTGTGGGCGCGTGGGGATCTTCACCGGGTCCTTGTCAACCTGCAATCAGACGATCCTTGCTTCGGACGGGCTCCAAACCCACGTGCAGAGGTGGGCATGATTTCCCGTTTTCCATTTGCTTCTCTTTCCATGTGAGTTTTGTTTCCTTTTTTTTCTTTTCCTTTTTTGTTTAATAAGAATTTGTGTTTAATTGTGTTCTCATTCGATTTTTACTGGTTTGGAAGTTCGATCCCCTAACACTCCTGGTTCAGAAGTGACCCCTGCCTCAGATCTCACTCTGCTTTTCACTGGTCCTATGATCTGGCCATGCACCACAGCCCCGCCGCCCCCCTGCTACCGTGCCCTGGCCACCGAGGCTCCCGTCCCACCACCATGGCCACAGAACCACCGCTCTGACCACGTTCTATGCGGGGACTCACACGGTGGGTGACCCTGAGCCTGGCCGGTCCGCTCAGAGCCCACGCACTGTACTGCACCGCGTGAAGACGCTGCGCTTTCACGGTGTTTCCAATCTGAGACTCTTACAAACAGAGATGCTGTGGACACCCGTGCACAGGTTTTTGTGTGAACGTGACTTTTTACCTCTCTAGGATAAACATCCGGGAGCGTAGTTGTTGGGCAGTATATTTAAGACACTACCGAACCAGCTTCCAGAGCGGCCGTCCCGTGGGCAGCGCCCGGACAGCCCAGGCTCCCCGCGTCCCTGCGTCTCCCCCTTCTGCCTCTGGGGCAGGTGCGCAGCAGGACCTCATTACAGTTTTACTTTGCATTTCTCTAACATTAGTGGTGCTGAACATCTTTTCAGATGCTCATGGGGCCACTGTAAATCTTCTGTGGTAAATGCTCAAATCTTTTGCCCATTTTCTCACTGAATTGTTTTCTTACTTTTGAATTTAGAGAACTCTTTACATATACAGGATACAACTCCTCTTTCTCTCCATGAATAAGTTGTCTTCCCAATGTCTTCTCAGGGCCTTTTGCAGAGGATAAGTTTTTAATTTTGATGAAGGAGCCCTTGAGTTTTTACCGTGTATAATTATTAACAGAAGCTAAAATTCATCCATGTTTAACTTCCCTACAAACAATATGAGATGAGAATACTTTAGCAACTCTTCCCAACTAATATACTATCCTTGTCCGGTTGTTGGTCTGTGCTTTCCAAAGATTTCACCCCACAAATTAGACACTATAGTCACAATTATTACTTTATTACAAAATCACTTCATTATTTCACATAGTCATTTGGTGCACTGCCTCCATACTTACCACTTTCTTGCCCACCCCCCATCCTTCCAGCGTCGGCTCCTCCGTCCTGCCGTCGGTCCTTCAGACGGTCCGCTAGGGAGCGCCTCTTGCTGGTGAGCCCACCAGGTTCTCGCTGCCGTGGAAGCACCTGCATTTGTCCTTGTCCTTGACGTTTTGTGGAAACGTGACTCTACGCTCACGGTTATTTTCGGAACACTTCACAGACACAGTCTCTCCGCGCTCCAGTTTCCCTCGTTGTTGCGTGACTCGGGCGGCAAATACTCTTGTTGCGCTCCTCCTTTCCACGAGAACAAGATCCCCTCCCGTGGCACTCCGTGGCTTCTCCCCATGTGGCCGGGAGAGCAGCTGTCGCATTTCCGCCGTGCGGTGCCCCTGCACCCCCTGCACCTGCCTGGCCCGCGTCAGACTCCGGCCTTCTGGGTCCCAGCGGCCGCGCTCCTCCTCTTCAGCTCCGCCGGGCTCTGCGGCTCGGCACTCTGCGACACAGCAGCCTCTCCGGGCGTCCCTCCGCTTGCCACTCGTCACTTCCTCTGCCACCAGATGCCCATGCTCGTGGCCGTCCATGGAGTCCTTCATTTCTAAAAGTTAGAGGTGGTCTTTTTCAGACACACTTGGTCACTTTTGATAGTCTCTTCTTATTGCTCATTGTTGTGACTTCATCTTATTTTAAAGTATTTCTTAGGAACTATCCATGTCATAAGTCTGATGAATTCCAGTAGCTGCATTCCTCCAGGGCTTGTGTCAGCCAGCTCGGCGCCTCAGCAAACACAGGTCGGGCGCCCGAGACCGCGGAAACGGCTTTCCTCCCAGCTCTGGCGGCTGTGAGTCCGAGTCCGGGACCCAGGCGTGGGCAGGGCTGGTGCCCGAGGACCCTCTGCTGGCGTGTGGATGACCGTCCCCTGCCCGTGTCCTCACATGGTCGTCCTCCGGTGCGTGTCTCCGTTCTCCTCGCCCCTTATAAGGACACCGGTCAGCGTGGATCAGGGCCTCCAGTGACCTCCTTTGTCCTAATCACCTCCCCAAAGACCCATCTCCAGGCACGGTCCCCTCTGAGGCCCTGGGGTGAGGACTCAGCGCGTGTTTTTGGGGACACAGTTGGACCCATAACGGGGCCTGTTTTGTTATCTCTGCAACTGTTCCTGCTTCCTCGGCTTTCCACTCCGTGGCCCCATGACATATGGCGTGGTATCTGACCATGGGGGCACATGGGCCTCTCATTCTGTGGGCCGCCCAAAGGCCCGACTGGCCCCTTCCCTCCGTGAAGGGCCTTTGCAGGTCTGGGATCTCAGATCAGCCCTGAACTTGCTTCCCACTCGGGCAGCAGGGGAGGTGATGGTGGGTAGGGAACAAGACCAGTTCCTTTGCTTCTCTGTAAGGCAGCAAAGCACTTTAAATGGTGGGTTTCCAGGTTACACTGTTCTGAAGCCCGAGAGCCAGTGCACGTCCTGCGGCTGCTCCAGGGGTGAGATGCACGAGGCTCCCTCGCCTGTTAAGGCAGCGCCATGAGGGGACAGGGCGAGAGCCTGCAGTCCTGTCACGGGCTCCAGGCCTGCCTCAGGCGTCATCCCTGCACCCGCAGTGCACCCCGGACTCTCGGGTTTGCCATCTGTACAAGGGGTGCACTGAGGTGACCTGCAGCGTCTTCCAGCCCCCTGCCCCTCCAGCCTCTGGACACACCGCCGGAGGCCCTGCAGACAAGCCACAGACCGTCTCCCGTCATGGCCACCGACACCTTCTAGATGCCCCACGTCCGGACCCTTTCTTCTCTGCCCCACCGGGCCCTTCTGGAACCCTCCCCTGGCACCTGTCCCTGCAGCCTTCACGGGCTCTCCTCCTCCACGGGACTGCTCCTGCCTTCTCTCGCTGCGCCACTCCCCCTCCTCCCACGCGGGGTCCTCAGAGCCCTGTCCCCCTCTACACCCCTTCCCTCCTCGGGCCCCACAGCCCTGGTGACCCCCATGCTGGGACAGCCCACTCATGCACTTGCTCCGGAGCACCCCACTGCTGGGCCCACAGGCACCTGGTACGGGACCCCAACCTTGGCTTCACTCCCCACCTGCTCGCGTCCGTTCGGAGTCTGTGCTGCTGGGGAGAGTGTCCAAGCAGGACAGGCTCTGAGGCTGGCGGCCAGGGCTGACCCCACCGCAGTCCCATCTGGGAGGGGCGGCCGTCCTCTTGCTGTGCCTCCTTCACACGCTCCCCATGACTTTCCTTCCTAGGACACTCTGGCTCCTGTTTAACCCAAGACCACAGCACCCTTCCTAGAGACTCTTCAGGCTCCCCTGGTGCATCCCCAAGAGGAGCTCCCAGAGACCCAGGTGTGAGGACAGCACCCCAGAAGCACCCGGGTTCTCCTCCATGCATCAGCACCCCCGCCCCCAAGGCCAGCCAGGGGCTCTGTTCTCCCTGAGGCGCTGTCTGGCCTCCTTGTGCACCCCGACCCATGGCCTGATGACAGGCACCCACTGTCCCCGTCATGCTCCTCCCTCCCCAGGCTGTCTGCAGCACAGGGCTCCAGCCACAGAGGCCAAAGGGGGCCCCGGGGCCTCGGAGGCAGACAGACCTGGAGGCACCACCTCTCAGGCCCTGACTCTTAAGCCCGCAGCAGGGGTGAAGGCTGCTTCTCCCCAAGCTGAGACCTGATTCTCTGCCCGCCCTCTCCTCCCACCTGCTCTCCGGGCCTCACTGACATCTGCCATGTCATCTCTAGGGCCTCTGCCCACAGGCCTTCATTAGCATGGCCACGCCCTGCCTTCCGGGGCACTAGGTCCCACCCATGCTGGGCGGCTGGCCGCCTGTTTCAGCTGCCAGACAACGGGATGAGATGCAAGCAGAGGCATCCTTAAAGGGAGGAGACGTGCTTTCTTAATCCCTCCTCTCCCTCCTGCCACTTGGAACACGAGTGCAGTGGTGGGAGCCCTGCAGCCATCCAGGACCATGAGCACACGATGGAGCAGGGTCCGTAGGCCACGTGAGGATCACCAAGCACAGATAGCTTCTAAGTAAAAGTCATCATGCCTGTTTTCCCCAAACATGCCATCTGGGTTTTCTGTAAGATATAACCAAATCTAGTTTTAATTTATACACAGAAAACATTTACCCAATATGTATTTACTTGCTTAGTATTGTTTTCTACAGCTGACCATGAGCTCTGGGAGGAAAGGCTTCTGGTCTGCCTTGGTCACTTATGCATCTTCAGCACTTAGTATGGGGCCAGGGCCACAGGAGGCACATGATAGGTATTATGGAAATAACTGGGGTCAGGGCTCAGGGTAACCAGGATCAGGGCCCAGAGTATAACTAGAACGAAGGCTCAGAGTGTGACTGGGATCAGCGCTCAGAGTGTGAGTGATATCAGGGCCCAGTGTGTGATCAGGCTCAGGCTCAGTGTGTGATCAGAATCAGAGCCCAGAGTGTGACCTGGGTCAGGGCTCAGTGTGTGACCAGGGTCAGGGTCTGGAGTCTGACCAGGATCAGGCTCAGAGTGTGACCAGGGTCAGGGTTCAGTGTGACCAGGGTCAGGGGTCAAGTGTGACTAGGGTCAGTGCTCAGAGTATGACCAGGGTCATGGCTCAGTGTGGGACCAGGATCAGGGCTCAGTGTGGGACCAGGGTCAGGGTCCGGAGTCTGACCAGGATCAGAGCTCAGTGTGTGGCCAGGGTCAGGGCTCAGAGTGTGACTAGGGATCGGGGCTCAACGTGTAACCAAGGTCAGGGCTCAGCATGTGACTGGGCTCAGGGCTCAGCGAGTAACTGGCTCAGGGCTCAGTCTGAGACTGGAGAAGGCATCAGCCTGTATTGCGAGGAAGCAGTGTTCGTAGCCAGTAGGGAGGTGAATGCCAACCTAGTGGGCATCTTTGAGTGGACAAGAACAGTCCAGCCCTTCCACCCAGAATGAAGAATAATGAGGCTTAGAGTTGGCATGGAGATGGAACTGAGGTTCTAAGAGTAGAAGGAAGGCTTTCCAGGGCAGGACCATGTGAGTAAGGCTGCCATGGAGAGCAAATGGCACTGTTTGTCCCCACAGAGGGAGAGGAGATTGGAAGGCTGGCAGGGCCAGGTCACAGGGAGCAGCTGGGTGAATGGCTGAAGAGTTTAGGCTCTCTTCCATAGACAAAGTTACTGACACGCTGCTGGTCCATGGTGAACCTGGAAAACCAGAGAAGGGTCCCACCCCATGTGCCTGAGACACTGGTCTTGGCTCTCTTCAGTACTGGGCTTCCCTGGAGCCCGGGAACCAGCACAGTGTCCTGCCCACGCCAATACTTCGGGCTCCTGCTTCTGGAGAAGGCTTTTATCCACAGCGGTCAGAAGGAGGTCAAGAGGAGACGGGCAGAGGGCACGAGGCCCAGGACCAGCGAGGCCCTGGGGTTTGGTGAGCCCTGTCCTCTCCCGCTGGCCTCCAAGGAGAGGCTGGCCTCTCCGAACAGCCTCCCGAGTTGTGTGGCTGCCGCTGTGTGACGGCCGGTGGGGAACACCAGCTCCCTGAGGGACGCGACAAGGGACCCAGGAGGTCGCAGAGGGAGCAGATCTGAAAACCCAGCAAGTGCCCGGGGCTCCCTGCCGGGGCTGAGCACAGAGGCACAGCCCATCTGCGAGAACAGGACTGGACTCTGTCTCGTTTGTTGGCAAGCATCATCGTTACGGTTTCTGCCTTTTTCATTATTTTATGCTTATATAAGAAAAATAATTTTTTTGCAAGATAATCAGGAGGTACAAAATGGCATCCCCCCATACAGTACCAAGTCACACATACGCGTCCACGTATCTATCACACCACAGATCTAAACCGGGAGAAATGACGAGACGTGGTGCCCTTGGCAGAATCGAGCAAAGTGCCGGAGCCAGCCCGCAGAGCCCACACATTCAGGAGGAGCAGGAGGAGGTGGCTTCCGGAGGGCACCCCAGTTGTGCGGCTGCAGGGAGGTGCCGGTGCTGGCCTCCAAGGCACTCAGCGCAGCCGGTGAGAGCACGGGATGGGGAGCGGAGGCTGGACTCAGCCAGTGCCTGTCCGCCTCCTCCAGCCACAACGTCCCTGAGTAGACTTCTGCCCAGGACCCACAGACCGGCCCCAGAGCCTTTCCCTGCATGTCACTGAGCCCCACAGACAATGCCTATGAGGGTGTCCTTTGTCCTCGATGGCTCCGTCGAGGCCCCAACTCTGCCCGGCTGTCGCCCAGCCCACCTCCCAGAAGGGCTGGAGTCCCTGCTGTGTGCAGCCCTCTGGGGGCCAGACCCTAGACCTCCTCCTCCACCTTCAGGATCATCCCTGAGAAGACCTCCAGGCCTGGGTGGGGGCCCTGGGGGCTGCTCTGGGAGCCTCTGGTGGGCCCACAGGCCGCTCCGCCAGCAGGGGTGCCATCCACAACAGGGGGCGAGGCTCCCCGCACTGGGCAGGCCTCCACCAGCTTCTTGAGGGTCCGGTTGAGGGCCTCCACGCCGTCGGCCAGCCGCTGGCTCTGCTCCACCAGCCTCTGCAGCAGCAGGTTCTGCTGGGCCATCAGTGCGCTCTGCTGCTGGGACCAGTGGGACAGCAGGGCACCCTGTCGCCGATGGGAGTCCAGCAACCGCTGCTCAAACTCGGAGGCCTCCCCCGCAGGCCTCCCAGGGGGTGGGGGTGGTGCAGTGGAGGGTGGGGAGGGTCCAAGGGCTCCTGGGAACGCAGCCGCAGGGGGCACCGAGGCTGGGGAGGCTGGGGAGGCCGGTGGGGAGGGCGAGGAGGTAGGCGCAGGGATAGTTCCTCGTAGGTCCAAGGGGTCAGGTTCAGGCAGGCTCGGCCCTTCCAGGGTCCGCAGGGGTAGCCACAGGCAGCTGGGGGCCTCATCCTCCTCGTCCGCTGGTGGAGGGAGACAGGAAACGTCAGCCTCCAGCAGCCATGACTGGGGCAATACATTGGAGGGGCAGAGAGATGATGGATGGGGAGGCCCTCTGCACACAGAGCTACTTAGGTCTCCCAATGCCCTTCTGTGGTGGGCAGCAGCACGCACAGGAGGAAAATAGGAGGACTCAAAGTTGAGTCTTCCTCCAGTAACACTGAGGTCCAAACCTCAGCCTGGGAACTGCAAAGCCTCAGTGCCCAGCCTCCATGCTGCCATTTGTCCACACATCCACCCAGCTGGCCCCTGTCTATCCACCATTCTGTCTATCTGTTCATTCACAATACCACCCACTCATCTATCTGCCCATCAATTTCTTCATCCATCATCCATCCATCTTCTTCCTTTCATCCTCCTTCCTCATACTCATCTGTCCATCCACCCATCCACCCGTCATCCATCCTCCCACCCACCCACCCATTTACCCACGCCTCTGTCCACCCATCCATCCACCCCCCCATCCACCCACCCATCTATCCATCATCCATCCATTTACTCACACTGTCCACCCATCCACCCATCCATCCTCCATCCACCCATCCATTCATCCATCCAGCCATCATCCATCCGCCATCCACCTACCCCTTTATCCATGGCTCTGTCCATCCATCCATCATCCATTCATCCTCCAACCACCCATTTACCCACGCCTCTGTCCACCCATCCATCCATCCATTTACTCATAACTCCATCCATCCATCCTCCATCCACCCATCCATTTACCCACGCCTCTGTCCACCCCTCCATCCATCCATCAACCCATCTATTTACCCACACCTCTGTCCACCC